GTGGGGCTGGGAAGGGGGGCTAGGTGCAGTCCCAGTGGGGCTGGGAAGGGGGGCTAGGTGCAGTCCGAGTGGGGCTGGGAAGGGGGGCTAGGTGCAGGCCGAGTGGGGCTGGGAATAGGGAGGGGCTAGGTGCAGTCTGACTGGGGAGCCTGCTGCAGCAGGCCCACAGCTAGCTCCCACAAGTTGGGGGCCAGGTGCTGCTGAGAAGGCATCAGGGAAGGGTGGGGTGGGGGGGGCAGAGCTGGGAAATGGGGAAAAGATAGAGAGGACTAAAGTAGAGGCCAAATGAGAAACCACAAGTTGGGGGCCAGGTGCTGCTGAGGAGGCATCAGGGAAGGGTGGGGTGGGGGGGGCAGAGCTCAGTATGGGGGACCATGTGGGTTGGAGCGTTCTGACCCGCCACCCGGCTCCCCTGCTGGTGCGCAGCTGCTCTCTGAGCGCACAGGAGTGGGCGGTGCTCCAGCCCCAAGCTCCTTCACAGGGTGTGTGGGGGGGGGTCCTCCTGCTTTCGAGGTGTCAGTGGGGGGCCCATGCGTGTGGCACCCTCAGTCTGTGACACAGTGCCCCAGCACTCTGAAGCAGAGCCCCCTCGTTGGCCCCGGACCCAATCCTCGTTGATCCGTGGTGGTGTGAGAGGTGATGGACAGTGGTTGGGCATGGGTGTCCGGGCTCTTCCCTGGATGCCAGGGTCAGCCCCTAGGGCGGGCAGGTGGGTGCCTTGTCCTGGGGACCCATCTCAACCTCCCTCCCACCTTCCCTTCCCCCAGTGCCCCGCAGAGATAGCTCGGTGCCCTTGATTGGGGTGCCATGCATGCCTGAAGGAACCAGGATGTTTGGAAGCCGTGCGGGCACCAGCCAGGCTGCATGGTGGGCAGTGCCCACTCGGCCCCGGGGTCCTCCTCTGACTAGTACATCTCCCCTTCTTCCACAGCCACTGTACAACCAGCCCTCGGACACCCGGCAGTACCATGAGAACATCAAAATGTGAGTCCCTGCGGGCAACCGGGGAGTGGGTCCGGAGCCCTGGTGCCCCGTTTCTGATGCAGGGCAGAGGGATGTTGGGGAAAAGGCCCGAGCCTGGTGGGTGGCCAGGACAGGGCTGCAGGAGCCCCATCAGGTCAGGTTGGTCACAGCTCAGGGAGCAGCTGTTGGGGGTCCCAGGAGCCTTGTCACTGGCCCAGGGGGTGGGGCGGGCTACTTCTGTCTGCACCGAGCTGCTGTCTGAGCCTGCCTGCATTCATTCAGGCCCATGCCACCCAAGGCCGTGTGTGTGCTGGGCCCAGGGGATCTGACCAGGAACCCACTCAAGACACCCTTACCCAGCCTTTCCCGTGGCGCACAGGCGGGCGATGAGGGCATCAGGAAGCCAGGGAAGCGGTCACCGAGCTAATTGCTACAAAGACAGCGCGTGGGAGAGGGGACATGGACTGCAGGGAAATTGAGATACACCTGTCACCGTGTCGGGAGGCCCTGGGCCTGAGCCTGAGGGCGGAGTGTTCCGGGCAGTAGAACAGTGCACCCAGGCCCAGAGACCACTGAGCTGGCTGGCATGGCCCGGGTGAGGGAGGGGAGGCAGTGGGCTCTCACCTGTGCAAAAGGGTCAGTTCCACCTTCCAGGTGACCAGAGGTGTGTTTTAGAGCCATTGCAGTAGCTGCAGGGTGGGAGAACCAGAGGCCCCTTGTGAGCCCGGCTGCCGGCTGGTTTTCATATTTATTCACCAGACCTTTCTTCATAGGCACCTCTGGGTGGGCCTGGCCCCTCTTGTCTCCCACCTTCCCACTAGCAGGGGGCTCACTGACCCCTGTGCTCCAGCGTTCCCTCTAGCAGCGGGAGACGGGCATGGGCGGGTGTGCTGCGCCACGGGAATTGCACGGGGTGAGCACAACAGGGCTTGCCTCTCAGGGTCACCCTTGGCCACAGCCCCCGCCACCCCCCCTCCCCCGAGGTCCTTGCCGCTGTCTCTTTGATTGCTCTGCCTACGCGTGCCGGGCTGCACCAGGAAAGTTAATTTCATGCTTGGCTTCATGCCGTGCTGGCCACTGGGGACGTCCCGTCACCTGTGCTCACCTGGACTGTCCTTTCTCTCCCCCCCCCCAAGGGGCCTGGTGCTGGGGGGGCTGCCCATACGCTAAGGGGGGTGGCCAGTGGTGGTGGGGTCTCGCCTCCAGGCCTCCCAGTTTGGGCACTGCCAAGGAGTGGCTGGGGGCTCCCGGGAGGGAAGGCCCAGCTTGGGGAAAGCAGAGTGCCACACACGGGGACACAGCAGGCCTGGATGCTCACGTCCCTTGAGTGTCCAGGACACCCGCCCCCGCCCCCGAGGCCCTCAGCTTGCACCTGCTTTCCTTCTGCATGTGGGGGGGTTGGCTTCTCGGAGGTAAAGGGCAGCTGAAATACAGCTCCTGTTTCACAGCCTCCATGGCCTCCCTGGGGAGGCTCCAAGAGGCCAGGGCTTTCTGCAAGGCCACACACCCAGCACCTAGACCAGTCTGCTCCACACCACCCTTTTGACCTTTCACCTGGCCGGCTGGGTGCCCTCAGACAGACCGGCCACCTGCCGTCCCATCCCCGTTTCCCAGGCCTGTGGGAGGGGGCTCACCAACCTATTCTGGCGAGCTGCGTCTTCTCCCAGGCGGGGATGGGATGTGTACACAGGCTGACTTCCTCTTCCACGCCGGCTCTCTCTGAGCACCCCTTGTTTCCTCTGCATCACCCAGACAAGTCTCCACAACCCCTCCTCTCCTCTTCCCACCCGTCCCTTTCAGGATGTCTTCCCTGACTGCCCCAAGCTCTCCTCCTCAAACCCCGTGGCTCCCAGGCCCAGCCCTGCCAAGGCCCTCGCCAAACCCCCAGGAAGGGCCAGTCCCCACAGCACCCAGCTCCTCTGTGTGCTGTCCCGCTTTCCTTCTTGGGTCAGGCGAGGGACTCAGATCTTCTCTACAGGTTGTTCTTATCCATTCCCCCAACTCCTCCAGGGGGCACCCCACAATTGTCTCCACCAGCGAACTTGCCATGCTAGCTGGATGCTGGTCCCTCCAGGGCCTCTGAAGCCCCAGGACATGGCTTTGAACCAACAAACACTGCAGTGGGGCTTGCTAGCCGGATGCAGAACATGCAGGCAGCCTGCCTCACCAGGGGCCCAGGGGCAGCAAACTCAAATGAGGGAGGCAGCCAGGGAGTAGCAGGGACCGCGGCACCTAGCAAGGGGCTCATCATCCTGTTTAAAGGGGCAACCAGTTGGGCCTCGGCCCCAGCCCGTGGTCCTGGGGACTGTGGCCTCGTGACCTGCTGCAGAAGCAGCTCTCCGGGCTCGGCAGTGGCGTCTGTGGGTCAATGTGGGCAGCGCTGCCTGGGCTGGCCAGAGCCTATGGGCTGGGCCTCGTTGGCAGGGACTGGGTGCCTCCAGGTGCCAAGCACAGGACTTGCTGCAGATGCCCAGCCAGGGAGAGGCCAGGCCCTCCCTCCGGGTGCTTTTGGGGCATGGAAGTGGGTACGCACAGCTCCTGGGCTACGGAGGGGGGTGTGCATGGCTCCCCAGCTCCTGGGGAGCAGAGGTGGGGGACGCAGAGCCCTGAGGGAACAAGTGTGGTGCGTCAACCCCTGTGCTTGTCCACCGCCTGGCGGTCACTCTCGAGTTGACGCTTTTAGTCCCAGCGGGCAGGCTAACTTCTCAGCACCCATTGCAGCAGCCTGTGCTGCCGGGCCGATTCTGACTATCAGCCACTCTCGAGGTTCCCAGGACTCAATCCTCGTGGGAGCAGACAGCCTCGTCTTTCTTCCTCAGAGTGGCTGGTGGTTTTGAACCGCTGACCTCACAGTTGGCAGCTGAGCACCAATTCCGCAGTGCCATTTCGGAGACTGGCCCCTCCCCCAGCCTACCCCATGTAAACTCGCCTCTCGGGGAACCGTGGCAAGGGCCCCAAACTGGTGAACACCATCTTGAGTGAAGTGGAACAAAGCGCTAACAAAAACACCCACCCCGGCAGGTCCCAGAGCTGGGCACTGCGGACTTACTGCTGCATCTCACCGGACCTTTCACCCCAGAGCCTCGGGCGCCTCACCCCCAACTGCTGGGTTCGCCACAGAGCTCCAGTTTTCCACTCGGGCCCCTTTTCCTCCTAGGGCCCCCCATCACCTGGAGCCAGCCGTCTCAGGTCTCTGCCAACCCAAGGCAGCGCTCTGCCTGGCTTTGGGGGGAGCCCTAGGTTGTCCCCTAGGTGGGCTCTGCCAGGCGGGCTGATGGCTTTGGGCATGTGAGTGTACGGCTGTGGACCTCCGCGCCCATGCTGGTCTGCTGTAGGCTGCTGAGGAGCCCACTGGTGCTGTAGGGCATCAGGCTGCTGATAGAGAGATGGGCAGTTCACACCCCCCATCAGCCGCTCTGCAGGGGAGGGAGCTGAGCCTGCCCACACCTGTAAGGGTTTCCACTCAGGCGCCCTGGGGAGAGCTCCGCTCCATCCCAGCAGGTGGCTGAGACAGGATCAACTGGGAAGGGGGGGCGAGCAGGGCCAGCAGGTGTGGCTGAGGCGCCCAGTGGCGCTCTGGGTTAGGTGCTCAGCTGCTCCCTCGGCAGTTCCAGCCCACCAGCCATTGGCTCTGCCAAGGGAGAGAGGAGGTCGTCTGCCAACAGGAAGATGCTTACCTGACTGAGGCGAGATGCCTGACCCCACACTGAGCAGAGCCGCCCTTCAGGGCCTCACGGGCTTTCCCAAGTCCCACACCTGGCGTGAGAGCCACGCTAGCCAGGGCTCCGCCATCACCAGGGTGGCCCCTGCTGGCCCAGCGGCCTGCGTTCCTGGGGTCCTCGGCGGGGAAGGCGGGGTGTGTCGGTTCATTCGGCGCTCGGGTCAGAGAGGGCTTGTGGGCAGTTCACCTCACTCTGCCTGACTGGGATGGAACCCCAGTCCTGCACCCCCACCGCCGTGCCAGCCCGAGGCTTGCCTTCCAGCACCACCTCACAGGTTTCCCCTGGGGTCGCGGGTAGGCGGATTCCCCGTCCTCCCGAGTCTGGGTCCCCGTTGTGGCACAATCTGGAAGGACCCAGGATGGCTCTGGGGTGTGCCTTGCCTTCTCCCCCGTGGGGAGCAGTGTTGGACACAGAGCCTGGGTGCATGTGCAGCTGCAGCCAGCCTGGGTGTGTGTGCAGCTGCGGCCAGCCTGTGTCGGACACTCGGTCATCCCGTTACTACTTCGCTTTTTAAAAAAAGACATTTTATTAGGAGGCCTTACAATCCATAGTTCCATTAGATCGAGCGTGATAGTCCAGTTGCTGCCATCAGCGTTTTCTTTCTTGAACTCCTTGATATCAGCTTCCCTTTATCCCTTCCCTCCCCCACCCTCCTCCTGAACCCTCGGTATGTTACGTATTAACGTTACTTTTTTGCCTTAACTTGCGCCATCTCATGTGTCCGTTCTCCTTAAGTTCCGATGCCCGTTCCCTTCTTGTGGGCTATGCAGTCCTCGTGGCTGTCTGTCCTGTGCCCTCAGGAGGTCAGTGCCCTTATTGTTGCTGAGGGTTATCGAGCTTGACTTTTCTGCCAGGAAGGGTCTTGGCTAGTTCTCCATTGGCCCCTGCTGCTCATTCTCTGCCTGCCCCCACCCCACCCCTCACCCCTGCCAGGTGCTGGAGCACCTGCACCGTCCTCCCCTAGCCTGGGCCCTGGCCCCGGGCCACCTCCTCCCTCCCTTCTCCCTCCCACACTCACGGGGGTCCTGGCAGTTGCTCATGGCCCCCTGGGTCCCGACAGGTGCGCATTGCACACATGGAACGATGGGGGACAGGCACACGCTGCTCCTGTGCCCATTTTCTGGATGAAGGGGCTGGGGAGGGGTATACAGGTTCCGGGGAGGCCCAGCCAGGGTGCCCTTGGAAGAAAGCTGATTCCCCCCCCCTCCCCAGGCTGTAGGTGGGAGGGAAGCCCCTGGAGCTCAGTGAGGGTGCTGTGGCGTGAGCACCCACTCCTGCGTCACGCCGGCTCCCAGCTGGGAGTGGCACACGCCAGTGTGGGCCCCTGGGTACTGGGGTGGAGTGGCGGGTCTGTGGATATCCCAGAGCACTGACCACAAGAGTGCTGGGCCTGTCACTGGCTCCTGCCACCTGGCCCCTCTGCTTGGTAGGGGGTGGAGGAGGGTGCGGCATATCTCCAGGACTTCCTGCAGGCACACCAGCCTCAAATAGGTGTGACAGGCACAGTTCGAAGACCCCCCAGGGTGCGGTGGGTCTTCCAGGCGAGGGCCTTGCCTGTAGGTATTGGTGCTAGTCGTGTTCCAAGACTGGACTGTGACCTGTGGCCAGCTGATGGGCCCTG